ATGAATTTTATCTAATGAATCTTGGAGGAAAACATTTTTAATGTATAATATATGAATCTAGAAATGTTACATCACCTGATAATAGCAAAAAGCAAAACAAAACCATCATCACTAGCACTAACAAACAACAACAAAAAAATTAAGATGAAAGCAAACAAGCAGATGAAGAAGTGACTATGTTGTACCATGAAGACATCATTCTTCTATAACCCATGTCTTGCAATAATGAGAGGTGTGTTGTAAAAAATGGGAAAATTTGGTGAATGGTGGTGAAGTGTGTGGATTACTGTGAAAAGGAGAAAAGACAGTTCAAAAGGAAGTAGGTTCACAAACATAACCCTTTTTTATTTTCTAAACAAGATTTGTTTTTATTTCATTTTGCCTATGTGTATGTGTGTGTACCACTGTTTTGCTTGGTGCATGTTGAGGTCAGAAGATAATGTCAGATCCAGGGCACCTGGTATTACAGATGGTTGTGAGTCACCATCTTAATCAATGTCCTAGTGCTGTTAAGAGACACCATAACCAATGAAATAATTACAAAGAAAGCATTCCATTGTGAATTGTTTACAGTTTCAGAGGTTTAGTTCATTATCATCGTTCTGGGAAGCATGGAGGCATGCAACCAGACATGGTAGCTGAGAGCTCTACATCCTAGTTTATAGACATCAAGAAGAGAGAGTCACAAGGCCTGGCTTGTGCTTCTGAAATCCCAAAGCCCACCCTCAGTGACAAACTTTCTCCATCAAGGACATACCTCCTAATCCTTCTTATGCAGCACCACTCCATAATGACCACATATCCAAACATATTACCCTTTGGTACCATTCCTACTCAGACCACTATAGTCACTATGTAGGTGCTGGGAACCTAAGTGGGTCCTCTGCAAAAGCACCAAGGTTTCTTAACCATGAAGTCATCTTTCCAATCTGTCTTGTGTGATTCATAAAAACTCACTTGTGGGAACTCTCCCATCAAGATTGTGGTACAGGTCACAAGAGACAGTTTCAACTACTATAGATTGATATATGTCACATCATATTTCTATGGCAGGTATTGTCTGAGTGTACATGTACTCTCAGTGAACCCCTGCATTAGGTCATCCACATAGAGCATGAAATTTAGTGGACCATAAGAATGTCATTTGTGAACTACTCAGCCTCTTAAACTCAACTTAACCAACTAATTTGGGTGTCCAATCTGATATGGTCTATGTATTGAGACAATATTAGATACTTTACAGTCTTATTGTCTCTCACCTTCATAGAGATTGAACTTTTTCTGGACCTGACAGTTAATTTAAGAATGTACCTTGAGATCACTTATGCTGATACCCTACTATATATTCTGTTTTGATTAACCTGCCTTTAAGAGAACAATGTTACAAACACATTCACTTACCTTTGATTTCCCATGTAATGAGCTTTTATAACCTCAGCTAATGCCCAATTTTAATCTTAAATTATATATCCCTCCATACTCCTGACCCAGACTAAATGCATGTGTGTGTTGTGGTAATCATTTGATGAAAGTAGCTCATAGGTTGGAAGTAACTCTATAAATAAATATCCACCATTAATTTTGCAAATAATATACAGATACAGCTTGGTAGCATATGCTTGCCGTATGTTTTTGGTATTCTGAGTATTTCAGTGTATGTTGGGGTCAGTAACTTATTTCCTCCTCTCCATAAAACTCTGTTGAAGATTTCTGTAAAGAATCCCTCATCCATTGTCCATGCCATTCTCTCTACTATCCAATAAATTCAGAGCTAATTACGTTGTTAGGGACACAAAAAGAAGCAGTAGGTATGCACAGATTCACAGGTACCAATGACCAATAAACCACCACATGCTACAGAGAGAGGGAAGGCCCAGAGCAAGAAGTGAAGAATTCAAGCTTGGGTTTGTAACACTAACATGTTTTGGCGTCTATGGGTGTATATTAACACATTTAACTGACACAGGGAATAGGAAAATAATCGTGAGCAATGCTCATTAATAATAGCAATGTATAAGGGAAGTATATACAGAAGCTATCTATGAATGCTGCAAAAATGACAATAAAGGAAATATATGGGAAATTTTAGTTTATCTGGGGATGATGTGATTTATTTATTTTTTGTCAATTTTGTTATTAAATGTGGTCATTCATCTTTTAGGGTAAAAACATGGTTCCATAGAGGGAAATGTGCATATGTAAACATTCACAAAAGGAGCTGGTGTGCAAAGATTCAATGTGTTTTGCAATATAGACAGCTGTGTAAACATCAAAGGACATTTAATGTCAATCGCTCTATTGCATTTCTGACAAACATCTATGACCTCTGGTCTTAAAAAGAACATTGGTTTAGTTATTTATTAATTTCCCAGGGGAAAAGAACTAAAAAGAAGTCAAAATGTGGGTTAACATGAACTATTATGAACTGTCAACTGAAGGTGTCACTCATGTTCTCCATACCCATGGAAGATACATAGTTGATCTTTCTACTGGCACTAATGACTTCTCCACCCCCTTTCCTAGCACATAAATACTGCAGATTGTCTTCATGGATTCACACCTGAACTCAGAAAGACACCGCATATGCTAACCTACTAGGAAAAGAGGGATTTCTGGAGGGAAAGATCAATGGACCTGTTTCTAAAATTTTCCACAAAAACATGAGCACTGCTGGCTACCATTCTGGTGCTCCTCTACCTGTGAGTAATTGATTAGATATCTCTCTTTTGTGGATTTAGAAGTGAATAATTCTCAGGTCCCTTTTCACTGTCAGAAAATCAAGAGGTATAATCCAATGGAAATTCGTACTCCCACAGCTGAACACATTTCTCCTATAACCTAAATGATTTAATTCACTGTGCTTTTCAGCCAAGTGTCTTCAAGTGATGTTAAAAATCCAACATTGAGAGACAATTTGGAGCAGGCTGAAAATGATTACAGTCTGCTGTTTCTCTTGTTGGTTTTCTGCCATTAGTTTGTCACATTGGGATAGGAAGGTTTGCAGAATATTGAAGCCACAATGAGGGAAACAGGCCTGAGATGTTACTGACACTCAGGCCTGTCTGTCCAGAGAGTATTGTCGAGAAATTATTGGATTACTGACAGTAAACTAAGTGCCTGTGGCTGATCATCTAAGTACAGAAAACTGCTATTGTGCTTTCTAGGGTCTAGGAAGAAACAGAATAGATAAATGATGCTTTCTGTAGTTCATTGCCTCATGAGTTCATTTGGATAACTCATTGAGCACTTTGCATTTTCTGGGAAAGTTGGGAGCAAATATCCTTTGACCTCAGTAGGGCACAATTGACAAACCCATTCCTCCAAAGTCCACCCTGGAGAGACATGAGTTTTTGAAGTTATCACAGGAATGTGTTTGAAAGGTTACTTGCAGGAGCATGAATGACTCAAAGTCAACTGCAACATCAAAACCCCACATCTGAACAGAGGGCTCCCAAAATTGGTACCTTAAAAAATATATTTTTATATTGCCCTGATGAATGTTTTGCATGAAGGTATGTGTCTGTATCACATGTATGCCTGATGACCATGTAAGTTAAAACATGGCATTGGATTCTCAGGGACTGGAATTATAAACTCTTGTTCGCTGTCATGTTGGGGACAGGAACGAAACCTGGGTGTTTGCAAGAACAGAAATTACTCTTACCTTCTGAGCCATCTCCCCAGCTAAAAAACTGCACCTGGAAAACTCTGCACAGTTTTCAGTCTGAGGGACAGGAAAGGTGAGAGCATCTTGTCATGGGGCTCTGCTGGTGGGCTGTCCTCCCCCTCTGAGCAACCTCTGTTCCCTGCTTACATAAGGTTGAGGATGGGTCATGTGGATCTTACATTGCAGGTTACTCACACTGATAATGTGTGATGACTTCCTAAGTCTGGTGAGACCTTCAGCAACATTCAAATCAAGTTTATAAAGTTTTATTACATATTAACTCTAAGACTGTCACCATCAAGTGTTAACCTAAATGTTTATAGTAAGATGGAATATGAAGGGGGTTATTGCTCTGAATTTTTATGTTATATTCTGTCCACTTGTTACCTCACTTTAGTAAATTCTGGTAATTAACAGTATTTGCATCCAAGAATATATACTCACATATACATGTATATCTACTCATACAATACATATTGAGCCAATAATATGCATATATATTGTATATATGTATACATAAATATGTATATTTTTATATGACATGTGGGAATGTGTATATTTATTTGTGTGTATGATAATGAATATTTATGTGTATGGTTAACAAGCTCATGATCTGACTGACTTTTTCCTCCATGTCTTAGGTATGGAACCTCTTCTCATGGACTTTTTAAGAAGCTGGGGATTCCTGGCCCCAAACTTCTGCCTTTTGTTGGGACAATGCTTAACTATAGGAGGGTGAGTGCTGTTGGGTTCCCTAGTTTGCTTCTTGTGATGGTGTCACTTACACAAATATCATTAAACCCCATGTAGGTTCATCCATTCTAATGGAAATTCAGATTCATTGTAAGGCTTTCAGTTGGCAGAATTGTTTTTGTTACACTCACATCATTGCCAGGTTACCCTTGGGTTTTGCTAACATGTGTTTGTGACCACAGGTTTGCAGCAGGTCAGGTATGACTTCAGGTTTGTGTCAGGTCAGGTGAGGACCCTGGCTATTAGCACACTAGGATCTGAAGGTAAAATGTTGATGTGTAGACTTTGAGAGCATCAATGATTTTGTTTCCTTTTTCAGTACAGATTCCAGAAAATTACAGTTATTCTTAATCAGTATTTTAAAAAGTACATGTAAGGCCACTGAGTATTCAAATCTAAGTTCAGTAATAATATTTACACTTCTTGCTGAGTATCTCTGTAACATGCCTATCAGGAGGCACATTGTTACTTTTGGGGACTATGCGCATACTTGAGTCCTCAATTGCACTTTTAATCCCAATATTACTTCCAAGGCTCTAGCCAAGCTTTTGCCACTTACAAGAAGATTTGCCTTTACTCCCTTTCACTTCAAGGTACAACACTATGCATAAGTCTAAAAGAACAGGAATATGGGAGACTAGATGATGTTCCCTATAAAACTCGGATATTTAACCAGATTGGGAGTTTTGTTTCTTGAAACAGAAGCAGAATCTTTTGTACAAAATCACTAACAAAAGACAAATTTGTAAAAAATATACATGTACGGTTTGAAATATAATATGTATAATTGCATACATATATACATATACATGCACCTATATAATAAGCACTGTGAATTTACACAGAGCCTTTCTGTATGCTTTTTGAAGGTTGAATGTTGGCCTGTCTTTCCTGAGCTCATGCACAGGAGCAGTGCCTACATGCAGACTGTACTCTTGCAAGGTTTGCTTTTCTGAATCCTCAAGGTTCACTTATTAGACCATAATTCTTCAAAACCAAGGATTCCATTGCTTAAGTTTCTAAGAATTCCAAGCTTTGCCCCCAATTAAAAAAGCACAACTTCCTTATCATTTTTGGATGACTTTTTTATGTATTCTTTCAAATACACTTCTTAAGTTGTTGTTTGTTTGTTTGTTTCAAGTAGTGTCTCCTGTAGACAAGATTATTCTTAAACTTGCTGTTCAGATTTTGGCACAGATTAGTCTCCTTGCTCAGTGTTTGGGTATACCATGATATCTTATTTAGGTGACTAGGTACCAATAGGGATGTGGTTATATCATGCTGACCACAACCTGTAAGAATTAGAGTCCCAAAAGGTGAGGTTTTGAGAGGGAGGACCAAGGGAAAGAAATAAAAAAGAGAGATACCTGGAACTTGGAAGTCTTGCATGAGCTGGTGACTTATGCCAAGGAGGTTTATTAATCAGCAAAGATCCTTACATACTTACTATTTGCAGGGGCAAATGACCAAGGTGAGCTGAGAGCTAAGTCAGACAATGCTGTCAAAGAGAACCCAGGATACCTCAGACAGAGCTGTCTTATGACTGATAACCACAACCCAGGGAAACGATTAGGATCCACATAAACTACAACCAAAACTTCTTAGAGGCTCTGGCTCCAGATTCAGAGAGGAGGTTGCCAAATCTGTTCCTGGAAGGCCACAGAACTGTCATGCCTTTTGTCCTTTTGAAATGGTGTCTGAGAAAACTTTGAGTTTAGTCTGTTTCAAAAAGGACACCTCCCTCTTTTTGTTTTTTATGTCTAGATGAGTCATTTGTGTCTAAGTATTTATAGCCTAAAATACACCTTAAACCAGCAAATGCCTCTTAATATTATCAGATGAAATATCGACATAAGTAATCTAAAGATAATAGTGAACAAATGTTTAAAAATGTTAAGGAGATTACATCTGGCAGTTTGTGTAATAAATGTCTGGCTGGCTCCAAAGGGGAATTGATTGTGTAATGAGCATGGCACATGCCAATAACTATTTGCTTGAGGGTTACAAATCTAAAATAAAATTCTCATGTTGTCATATTACCTGAAAATGTTTATTAATTCCCTCCCATTTCTGTTCACATTCATCATAATTTAAAGGAGCAACACAGATATATCTAAAGCCAGCAAGACACTGTAAAGATAATTAAATTTGCATTGCTTGTACTGTATCTCCCAGGGTCAATAAACAAACTTTTAGAGCATTTAACTTAGCTTCTAGTTGTGGTTTTTATTTTAACTATGTTTATATAAGCTACAGAAGTATTATAAGGAATCTGATTAAGAAAATGTGCAATTTGCTCTTGTTGGGCAAGGGTCATTGTGAAACAGCAGCCTCTGTATTGAGAGCTGTAAGTCCTGCAAAAATTATAGTTAAAATAAAATCCAGAAATATATTTTCAGTAAAATCCTGATGTAGTTTAAAGAGAATGTGTTGTC